CTCTCTCTCTCTCTCTCTCTCTCTCTCTCTCTCTCTCTCTCTCTCTCTCTTCTCTCTCTCTCTCTCTCTCTCTCTCTCTTCTTATGATTAAAACCAATTTACTTTTGCCTCAAACTATGCGTACGTGCGCGTGGGGGTTACATAGGTTACATAAAACGTTATTATCCCGGAAAAACTTCTTAATATCCCTAAGATTCCCAGTGGCCCGAGAGGAGGAAGCTACACCAGCGAAATATGTTACTATGGCTCAGGGACGTGACAAGAACGGGCAGCACATACTAGCCCTCCTAGATTCTCTTTTTATGACCTTATTTGTTTCTTTATCGAAATATTTGTTGTATCTATTAATTAGTTAATTCATTAGTTTATTAACTGATTTATTTAATCTCCTTTTATTCAGCATGGAAGGTGTAGTGACTGTTCCGACATGAGAGCGATATTCATTATTACGTAGTGTTATTACGTACCGATTTAACACTTGAGTAGATGTTGAACTTATATCACAGGGGCTCATGGATAATCAGCAGACTGAAGTTTATACAAATTTACATATTTTATAATGCGCTTGAGTTATATCATACACCTGTGAATTATTTAATTTCTATATTGTTATTTTTTCCCGTCGAATACATATTCCTTTTCTTCAATAATTATTAATGCGTTTATGAATGCCTAGTTATAGAATTTGATTGCGCTTTTTGGTGATTATTTTATTCATTGATAACATAGATAAGTTTATCATATTCATGTTTCTATTTTTTTAATCGGTGACTGAATGCTTGATGCAATTAAGGCTCTTGATGAATATGTAAACACACATTTTTTGCAGATTCCTTTTTGATTGTTTGTTTCTCTAACATTCATCTTCCTCAAATTTCGAAATGAATCTACTTTCAATCTTCAGACTTCAGCCGTACCTTTGTCCCTGTAGTTTGAATGTAGCTGTTTGTACAATGAATATTAAGTTGTTTGTACCAAAGTACTCTTGATTATGTTGTACTGTGTTGTTGTACGGGCGCGGTGCTCTATTGAGGGACGGTGTAGAGCCTGTAGCTAAGGCCTTTATACCATGTCTAGCGGGTTTCAGTGTGGAGTGAGAAGGACAAGGCTTACATGCTCCGATGGTGTTCCCTAACCTACGGTTCGCGAGAGAAATTTGGGTCACAGAGAGATTTGATTAAGTCGATAAGGTCTGAGTCATTATTGATATGAATTGATCACTGTTGACTTTGCTCTTGGTTTGTGTCGAATTTCTGGTTGAAAGATAGTTTCAGGTTCATTGGTGGTGTTGCTGGTACCCTTCTTCCCTCTTTCCATATCTCTTCCTTCCTCCTTCCCTTCTTCTTCCCCACCTTATCTTCCCTCCCTCCCTCCTTCCTTTCTTCCCTCCCTCCCTTCCCTTCCTCTTTCCTTTCTTCCCTCCCTCCCTTCCCTTCTTCCCTCCTTTCTTCTCTCCCACCTTCCTTTTCTCCCACCTATCTTACACAACTTATCCTCAGACTTTTCTGCGCAGAAAAAAACAAACACGATTGAATAATTTAGATAAGCAGCTAATTTAGAAATTCATGTTAAAGATCTCAAATGACAGGAAAATTCGCAGGCTGCACTCGGGATCACAGCTTACAGGACAAAGCTACTTCTGAAGGTTAGCTTAGTCTGTTATTTAGTCGCGTATTGTGCGTATGACGGGGCATACGGTATGGCATTCCGGGTGATGCAGTTCTTACAAGTTTTTTGTCCCAAATAAGTGGCTGAATAAGGGTCCTTCGTGCTTAGTCGTACTCTATGGTGAATCTCCGAATGTCTTACACCCATTTATTTACTGAATAAATAAAGGAATAAACACATATATACATACATATTATTTAAGTATATATATATATATATATATATATATAATATATATATATATATATATATATATATATATATATATATACTATATCTATTCGGCATCAAACCTAGGTGTCACATAATTCCGTCTCTCTCTCTCTCTCTCTATCCCTCCTCTCCTTAATTCTCCCTCCCTGTATCTCCCTCTCTCACCCTCTCTCTCCCTCCCAGCAGACAGTCTTTGACTCATCCTATGGCCTTTTTATCCACTTTCTTTCCCTTCCACGTTCTGACACTAAAACCGGCAGTAGATCCTTTATTTAGATCTCCCTCTGGACTCTGCGGATCAAAATCATTTTCAGCAATCACGTTATGAGCTTCCAAACATTTTTTGCATTAATTCAGAGAGAGAGAGAGAGAGAGAGAGAGAGAGAGAGAGAGAGAGAGAGAGAAGAGAGAGAGAGAGAGAGAGAGAAGAGAGAGAGAGAGAGAAGAGAGAGAGAGAGAGAAGGAGAGAGAGAGAGAGAGAGAGAGAGGAGAGAGAGAAGAGAGAGAGAGAGAGAGAGAGAACGGGAGAGAAAGAGAGAGAGAGAGAGAGAGAACCCTCTATAAAAATTCTTATTCCGGATACCACAAAAATCTAATGTCATGTCATGTACGTCGAGCTATGACACCTCCATTCATAACGTTTCATCATAACCAAAGCTTGGCTGTTGTTATCATTATTATTATTGATATTATTCATTTCTATCATTGTGTTCATAATAATATTTTTTTTCCAAATCATTGATATCGTTGTCAATGCTTTTATCACTGTTGTCATTCGGATTATCATCATTGTTATCATCATTATTACTATTATTATCGTTGTTTTCATTATTATCATTATCAATACTATTTTTTTCATTATTGTTATTATTACCATTATCATTATTATTACCATTATCATTATTATTACCATGATCATTATTATTACCATGATCATTATTATTACCATTTCCAATATTATTATCATCATTATTATTATTATCACTATCATCATTATTATTGACATTACAATTAATACTGTCACCGCTGTTATGATCATCCTTATTATCATTGTTATTATTAATATCATTCTTATCATTATTTCTATTATCGTTATTATCATTATTACTATAATAACAATTGCCATTATTAATATTATCGTTATTACTATTATCATTATCATTAATATTATTATCATTATCATCCTTACTATAATTATTATCATTAGTATTATCATTATCATTATTATTGTTATTACTGTTACCATCACTAAAATCATTATCATTATCATTTCAAATATCATTTTTCTTATTTTTTCTATGATGATATTATTATTTCTATTCTGCTACTATTATTATTATCATTATTATCATATTATATTTTTTCATTACATTTTTTCATTTTCATCTCTCTCTCTCTCTCTCTCTTAACATCATCATTATTATCATTACTGTCATCATTAATATCATCATTATTACTATTACTCACCATTATCAACTAGCAACATCGTTCTTATTGGTATCATTATCATAATTATCCTTATTGCCATTCGTATCCATTAATCTCATCTTACTATTATAATCAATACTATCATCATTTTTATAAATAAATATCGTTTATCTTTATTTTTTTCATTATCATATTTATCATTATTATCGTTATTATCTCTCTCGTTATTATTCCTAATGTCACGCATTCCGGCATATATACACACACATCCACAATACACCCAAACACACACGCTTTCTCTCTCTCTCTCTCTCTCTCTCTCACTCACACACACGCAAACACTCACACACATACAAGCACATAGGCACGCATGCACGCACGCAAACACACACACATACACCTCTCTCTCTCTCTCTAGATTCTGAGCCAATTGCCAGATTGAGATTGAGAGATTGGAAGTTCCAGATAGAAATAATTTTTAGGGATTGAAAATATTTGTATAATTCAGTGCCTTTTAAATGTACTATTCATGTACCTGTAGAGCTGCTTTTTACTCTCGTCTCTCTTTCATCCAATTATTTCCTCCTTCCTGTTCCTCGCCATTATTCTCCTTCTCCTTTATGCTTTCCGTTTATACCCACTTTCATTTTTCTTCCCTTAGAAAAAATGTTAGTAATCGAGCAAAGCAAAGGCAAGCAAAAGCAAGCAAGTCAAGCAAAAGCAAGCAAAGGTCAAGCAAAAGCAAGCAAGGTCATCATCAAGTCATCCTCACCGCGAGCGTACACTCCGCCGGGAGAGACGGTGAGTCATTGATCACATTTGTCTCTCTCCCCTTGTCCCGTTTCTTCCCGAATCACCTCTAACCCATTTTACCCTTTGCCCCCTTTTTTGCATCTCCTTCCCCTTCCCAATCCCAGATTCCTCCAGTCCCCTCGCCCGCGCTTTCCCTCTTGCATTATTAACCTAACAAAAATGTATGAATCATCGTTTCTGCTTTTACGAAACGAACGGAAAAACATTTGTAAAGAAAAATAAATGCTTTCTCACACCAACGCATCAAAAAAAGTTTGTGAAACAAATTCTTGTTTCTCAAGGTCTTTTGTAATTATTGAAAAATATATTTGCATTCAATCCAGAGTGTGATATGAATGCTGCTGCTGATACTGGTACATCAAACTACAGATTCATCTATCTCTTTCTCTCTCCCTCTCTCCCCCCTTCTCTTTCTCCCCCTCTCTCTATCTTTTTCATTCTCCCTTTTTTCCATTCATATATTTTTCGACTATGCGAGGAGATATATATATATATATTTTATCTCACCTCTTTCTCGTTTTGTTCTTTTCCTTTTTCTTTCGTCCTTTTTTCCCTTTTTTCTAATTTTTTTTACTTTCTTCAGGTCAACCAACTCCAGCAGCTGGTGCAACTCGCATCTCGGGTGAGGCAGGTCTATAATTTTTGCCGATTCTGTTCACTATTTTTATTTTTGTTTTAATTATTATATAATTTTGTATAATTATCATTGTCATCATACTCATTGTGAAATCATTAATAATCATATAAGGTTATCACTATTTTTATCAGGTATTGTAAAATGGTTGATTTTTAATTCCTTTGTTGTAATTATTATTATTATAATTTTGTATAATTATCATTATCATTGTGAAATCATTATAATCATACTCATCACTTTTTTTGTTATTTCACCACCAGTTTCCTCATGTTTCCTTAATGCGTCTTGATCATGACCGGAAGGCGTGGCCAAAGCTGCCTTGGCCTAATCTCCTGGGCCCTCTCCCCAGGAGCTCGTGGACGCGCCCCAGGGACAGGAGCGGCACCCGGTGGCGCTCGCAAAAGCGCCTGAGCACGTCGACCTCGACCGGCACTGGCCACCGCTGGGCCAAGAGTGCCTAAAATGCATGCCTGGAACTCGGCGGACTTCTTGACGGGCTGCGGTTCGATCAGGATGGTCCTGACTCGCTTCTGGGCCGGCTGGCCCTCCTCCTGCTCGTCGCTGCTGCGCCCCCGCTTCCGCTTCTGGGGCTCGGGGGAGGCGTCGCTCTCATGGGCCGCGGCCCTCCTCGGCTGTGGCTCGTTCGTCACTGCGACGTGTAGCCAGGGTTCTCCGTCGGGCGGCGGGCAGGTAATGAAATCTCTAAGGCTGTGGGATGTTTTGCTTTACACCCTAAAGGAACTATGCATCCAATCTTTGTCTTTTTGTATTTTTGCCCATATTTTTTAGATACAGTTTTATCATTATTAAAAATGATAAAACTGTATTTGTTTATTTTCCTTCTGCCTCTGTCTCCTTTTCTGTCGTTTCTCTCTCTGTCTTTCATGGACAGAGGGCGAAGATGTTGGGGAGGGTGCAGGTAGCGGGGGAGTAGGAGAACAGGAGGTGACAGAGGCATTCTCATCTACAGGGATGATATCAGAATGGCTCTGTCGCCTCTCCTTCTGTCTCTGTCTCCTTTTTGCCGTTGCTCTCTCTGTCTTTCATGGACAGAGGGGGGGTGTTGGGGGGGTGCAGGTAGCGGGGGAGTAGGAGAACAGGAGGTGACAGAGGCATTCTCATCTACAGGGATGATATCAGAATGGCTCTGTCGCCTCTCCCTCTGCCTCTGTCTTTTTTGTTATCGGAGTCGTTCTCTGACTTTCTGTTTTTCATGGCTAGAGGGAGATGTGGAGGATGACGACTTGGCCTCCAGCTCCTCTCCACGTCGTGCAGCAGCAGCCAGTTGGGCCTTGAAGTCGTCGGACTTGGCCTCCTGCTCCTCTGCAAGTCGTGCAGCAGCAGCCAGCTGGGCCTTGAGGCCGTCGGACTTGGCCTCCTGCTCCTCTGCAAGTCGTGCAGCAGCAGCCAGCTTGAGGTCGTCGGACTTGGCCTCCTGCTCCTCTGCAAGTCGTGCAGCAGCAGCAAGCTGGGCCTTGAGGCCGTCGGACTCGGCCTCTCCTCTGCAAGTCGTGCAGCAGCAGCCAGCTGGGCCTTGAGGCCGTCGGACTCGGCCTCCTGCTCCTCTGCAAGTCGTGCAGCAGCAGCAAGCTGGGCCTTGAGGTCGTCGGACTGCGCCTGGCCGTCGGACTCTCCTGCTCCTCTGCAAGTCGTGCAGCAGCAGCAGCTGGGCCTTGAGGTCGTCGGACTCGGCCTCCTGCTCCTCTGCAAGTCGTGCAGCAGCAGCAAGCTGGGCCTTGAGGCCGTCGGACTCGGCCTCCTGCTCCTCTGCAAGTCGTGCAGCAGCAGCAAGCTGGGCCTTGAGGCCGTCGGACTCGGCCTCCTGCTCCTCTGCAAGTCGTGCAGCAGCAGCAAGCTGGGCCTTGAGGCCGTCGGACTCGGCCTCCTGCTCCTCTGCAAGTCGTGCAGCAGCAGCAGCTGGGCCTTGAGGCCGTCGGACTCGGCCTCCTGCTCCTCTGCAAGTCGTGCAGCAGCAGCAAGCTGGGCCTTGAGGCCGTCGGACTCGGCCTCCTGCTCCTCTGCAAGTCGTGCAGCAGCAGCAAGCTGGGCCTTGAGGCGTCGGACTCGGCCTCCTGCTCCTCTGCAAGTCGTGCAGCAGCAGCAAGCTGGGCCTTGAGGCCGTCGGACTCGGCCTCCTGCTCCTCTGCAAGTCGTGCAGCAGCAGCAAGCTGGGCCTTGAGGCCGTCGGACTTGGCCTCCTGCTCCTCTGCAAGTCGTGCAGCAGCAGCAAGCTGGGCCTTGAGGCCGTCGGACTTGGCCTCCTGCTCCTCTGCAAGTCGTGCAGCAGCAGCAAGCTGGGCCTTGAGGCCGTCGGACTCGGCCTCCAGCTCGTGCTCCCGACGGGCGGCAGCTTCCTTCCTCTTCCTCAGGACTGAAAAAGTAATGAATGCAGCAGTTATTGCCGCAATTATGGAAATCCCGTAAAGCATGGCCATATTATTGTTTTTACTGTTCTTTTTCACTAGTTTTTCCAGTGATTATATTCTTTTCCTATTGCATTTGGTTTGGGGCACTTAACCGTAGAGCCTGGGAACATACCAAGGCTGCTGTTCATATGTGCACGGCGTGAGCAAGTCGGGAGGGATGGACTTCAGCTACTTAATGAGCTGAAGTATTTTATGTTTTTGTTGGGTAACTTGCATATCATATTTTCTTTATGCATATTAAATACTGCCGAATAAGATGGCAACAATCAAAAAATAATTTTTTTTTTTCATTAATAATAATAATTATTCTGTGTTCCACATAAACATTAGTAAAGACGTTATGTACATATGAATAATAATAATAATATATATAATAATAATATAATATATTACCGTCCTACCGTCCATGCTCCTCTCTTCTTCCTGCTGTCCGTCATCCATGCTCTTCTTCCTGTGCCGTCCGTCGTCCATGCTCTTCTCTTCCCGCAGTCCGTCATCCATGCTCTTCTTCCTGCCTTCCGTCGTCCATGCTCTTCTCTTCCCGCAGTCCGTCATCCATGCTCTTCTTCCTGCCTTCCGTCGTCCATGCTCTATCCTCTTCTTCCTGCTGTCCGTCATCCATGCTCTTCTTCTTCCTGCCTTCCGTCGTCCATGCTCTTCTCTTCTTCCCGCAGTCCGTCATCCATGCTCTTCTTCCTGTGCCGTCCGTCGTCCATGCTCTTCTCTTCTTCCTGCTGTCCGTCCATGCTCTTCTTCCTGCCTTCCGTCGTCCATGCTCTTCTCTTCCCGCAGTCCGTCATCCATGCTCTATCCTCTTCTTCCTGTCCCGTCCGTCGTCCATGCTCTCTCTCTTCCCGCAGTCCCGCAGTCCGTCATCGATGCTCTTCTTCCTGTGCCGTCCGTTGTCCATGCTCTTCTCTTCCCGCAGTCCGTCATCCATGCTCTTCTTCCTGTCCCGTCCGTCGTCCATGCTCTTCTCTTCTTCCCGCAGTCCGTCATCCATGCTCTTCTTCTTCCTGCCTTCCGTCGTCCATGCTCTTCTCTTCCCGCAGTCCGTCATCGATGCTCTTCTTCCTGTGCCGTCCATCGTCCGTCCGTCCGTCATCGATGCTCTTCTTCCTGTACCGTCCGTTGTCCATGCTCTTCTCTTCTTCCCGCAGTCCGTCATCCATGCTCTTCTTCTTCCTGCCTTCCGTCGTCCATGCTCTTCTCTTCTTCCCGCAGTCCGTCATCCATGCTCTTCTTCCTGTGCCGTCTTCTTCTCTTCTTCCTGTGCCGTCCATCGTCCATGCTCTTCTCTTCTTCCCGCAGTCCGTCATCGATGCTCTTCTTCCTGTGCGTCCATGCTCTTCTTCTTCCTGCCTTCCGTCGTCCATGCTCTTCTCTTCTTCCCGCAGTCCGTCATCCATGCTCTTCTTCTTCCTGCTTCCGTCGTCCATGCTCTTCTCTTTCTTCCCGCAGTCCGTCATCCATGCTCTTCTTCTTTGCCTTCCGTCGTCATGCCTCTTCCCGCAGTCCGTCATCCATGCTCTTCTTCCTGTGCCGTCCGTCGTCCATGCTCCTCTCTTCTTCCTGCTGTCCGTCATCCATGCTCTTCTTCCTGTGCCGTCCATCGTCCATGCTCTTCTCTTCTTCCCGCAGTCCGTCATCCATGCTCTTCTTCTGTGCCGTCCATCGTCCATGCTCTTCTCTTCTTCCCCAGTCCGTCATCGATGCAGTCATCCATGCTCTTCTTCTTCCTGCCTTCCGTCGTCCATGCTCTTCTCTTCCCGCAGTCCGTCATCCATGCTCTTCTTCTTCCTGCCTTCCGTCGTCCATGCTCCTCTCTTCTTCCTGCTGTCCGTCATCCATGCTCTTCTTCCTGTGCCGTCCGTCATCCTCTTCATGCTCTTCTTCTTCCCGCAGTCCGTCGTCCATGCTCTTCTCTTCTTCCCGCAGTCCGTCATCCATGCTCTTCTTCCTGCCTTCCGTCGTCCATGCTCTTCTCTTCCCGCAGTCCGTCATCCATGCTCTTCTTCCTGTGCCGTCCGTCATCGATGCTCTTCTTCCTGTGCCGTCCGTCATCCATGCTCTTCTTCTTCCTGCCTTCCGTCGTCCATGCTCTTCTCTTCCCGCAGTCCGTCATCCATGCTCTTCTTCCTGTGCCGTCCGTCGTCCATGCTCTTCTCTTCTTCCCGCAGTCCCATGCTCGTGCCGTCCGTCATCGATGCTCTTCTTCCTGTGCCGTCCGTCATCGATGCTCTTCTTCCTGTGCCGTCCGTCGTCCATGCTCCTCTCTTCTTCCCGCAGTCCGTCATCCATGCTCTTCTTCTTCCTGCCTTCCGTCGTCCATGCTCTTCTCTTCTTCCCGCAGTCCGTCATCCATGCTCTTCTTCTTCCTGCCTTCCGTCGTCCATGCTCTTCTGCAGTCCGTCATCCATGCTCTTCTCTGCATGCTCTTCTCTTCCCGCAGTCCGTCATCCATGCTGTTCTTCCTGTGCCGTCCGTCATCGATGCTCTTCTTCCTGTGCCGTCCGTTGTCCATGCTCTTCTCTTCTTCCCGCAGTCCGTCATCGATGCTCTTCTTCCTGTGCCGTCCGTTGTCCATGCTCTTCTCTTCTTCCCGCAGTCCGTCATCCATGCTCTTCTTCTTCCTGCCTTCCGTGGTCCATGCTCTTCTCTTCCCGCAGTCCGTCATCCATGCTCTTCTTCCCTGCCTTCCGTCGTCCATGCTCTTCTCTTCCCAGTCCGTCATCCATGCTCTTCTTCCTGCCTTCCGTCGTCCATGCTCTTCTCTTCTTCCCGCAGTCCGTCATCCATGCTCTTCCTGCTTCCGTCGTCCATGCTCTTCTCTTCTTCCTCCGTCATCCATGCTCTTCCTGTTCCGTCGTCCATGCTTCTCTTCTTCCCGCAGTCCGTCATCCATGCTCTTCTTCTTCCTGCCTTCCGTCGTCCATGTCTAGTCCATCCTCTCTCTTCTTCCCGCAGTCCGTCATCGATGCTCTTCTTCATGTCTTCTCTTCTTCCCGCAGTCCGTCATCCATGCTCTTCTTCTTCCTGCCTTCCGTCGTCCATGCTCTTCTCTTCTTCCCGCAGTCCGTCATCCATGCTCTTCTTCCTGCCGTCCGTCGTCCATGCTCTCCTCTTTTCCTCCGATCCATGCTTTCTTCCTGTGCCGTCCGTCTTCCATCTCTCTCTTCTTCCGTCATCCCTTCTGCCACTCTTCTTCTCTGCTCTTCTTCCTGCCGTCCGTCGTCCATGCTCTCTTCTCCCTGCTGCTGCTTCTGTCTGGAATAGAGAAATTATATTATAGTACATTACATATTACATACATAAATAACACACACATACATTATTATACATACACATATATATTATATATACACACAAGTCGACTAGGCAAATAAAGTTAAGTTTCTTGCCCAAGGAAACAATGTCCCCAGCCAGGGCTCGAACCCTCGAACACGGGCGGCCGGCTCACCCGAAGTCCGATGCTAAAACCACTAGGCTATCACACCTCCAATGAAAATAGAATTCACAGGTCTTTAAATATTACACATTTCTCTCCTATTACAAATCTTATTTTAATAATAATTCTAACACTAGTAGCATAGAATGGTCAGCGTAGGCATCGTGCTCCTTGGCCCGCCCCCCTTCATGTGAGAGAGAGAGAGTGGGGAGGGAGAAGGAAAGAGAGATATTGGGGGGGGGAGGAGGAAGAATCCGGCATCATGGGTTCGAATCCACAAGGGAGAGCAAAATTATTGTTTTCATTTTTATTATCATTAATATCAACTGTCATCCTTATCACCATTGCTGTCATAACTATTGTTATTATTATCATTATTTTTGTTATTATTGCCACTATTGATATTATCATTATCACTGGAATTTATTTATTTTTTAATCATTAATGTCGTCTGCTATACGGGGAAAAGGAGGAAGAATCCGGGATCGTGGGTTCGAATCCACAAGGAAGCAAAATTATTTTTCATTT